CCAGGGCCCTGGTGGATCTGAAGGGCTGGGAGAGCCAAGAACTTAGCCAGCTTTCCCCATCAGCTCCACAGCACTGGATTCATCCTGAGAGATCTCTTGTTAAAAGCTTGGGGGGCATGCAGCACAGAAGTGGGATTGTTGGGGATGTGGGCACAGAGACCATCCTAGAGGGGACTGGGCTTGCCAGGAAGATGGCTACCCATGGAGGAAGGAAGAGCCAAGGAGACAGCTTTATGTAGTAAAGGAGTTCTCAGTTTAAAGAAACAGGAGTGACATGTGAGTGATAAACACCAGGTACCATAAGGTTATGATTTACTCCCACATACTAATAGTATGGTATAAATCAAATGGGGTAGGAGTAGAACATGGTAGAATAAACCCAGGGAGACATTCTGTGAGGAGAGAGAACTAATCTGGTCATGGGAGGCAGGGGAATGCCAAGGGATGTTGGGACAGACCAAAGATGTTTCATGCAGCCATAGCTGGAAAGACTAGAACCTCACCTACCTAGTCAGGGTTCTTAGGAACCTCATTCTCTTGCCTAGATGCTCTCGAGCCACAGATAAAGCTGTCTGGTGATGGATGGGCCTGGGCCAGGAAAACTCTATTAGCCCTTTGTCCTGAACTTAATTCCCACTTCTAGCCCTCAATTTGAGGAAGAACCCAGCCACCTCCCAGGTTCCTAGGGAAGGAAGTCACTAAGCAGTTCTTCAGCACATGAATGCTGACACTGGGGATAAGGAGAGAAAAATTTAGGAAAACACAACCCCAGCCCCCTTAAAACCTAACTTTTTGACCCTGCCTTCAAGTCTTACTCTATGACCTTGTACTGATCATTGTCCTTGGACCTGAAATTCTTACATAAAAAGAGAAAGCAAAAAAAGTGGTCTTTAACTTGCCTTCGGGTTCATTCTATGGAACATACCTGCTAACAGATGGTAAGGGTCACTACAGTGATTGTCATTATCCAGCACCAGAAGGCACAGAGATCTGGGTAAGGTCCTGGCAGATAAGCTTCAACAGATCAGTGCCTGCAGGGTCCAACAGGCCATATTGAAGAATGAGGCCTAGGATCAAGTGTGGGAAATGAGAGACACAGTCCATTAGTCTACAAAAAGCCCTAGTAGGCCCAGATAGGAATCAGACTTCAAATCCAAGTTCTGCCACTTGCTAGCTGTATATTCTTGGACAAGTAATTTAACCTCTCTAGGCTCTCTATTCAAGAGGTAGTTTATAAATTATTTGGGCTGTTATATGCAAAGGAAGCTTAGCACAGTGCCAGGAAACATTCTGTCTTCAATAAAGGTTAGTTGAGGGCTGGGCATGTGGCTCAAGCGGTAGTGTGCTCACCTGGCATGCGTGCGGCCCGGGTTCAATCCTCAGCACCACATACGAACAAAGATGTTGGGTCCGCCGAAAACTAAAATAAATAAATATTAAAATTCTCTTTCTCTCTCTCTTTAAAAAAAAAAAATATGCGTAGGAGGGACTAGGGGTATGAGCTTGGTGGTAGAACACTTACCTTGCATACACAAGGCCCTATGTTTGATCCCCAACATTCCAAATATAAACTATAAGAAATTGTATTTTATGACTTTAATATAGGAAAAGATTTTTTAATTGATTTTACTTCAAATTCACTTCTAGCCTCCCTTTTCTGCAGCACTGCGAAGCTAGGAAGCATGTAAGGCAGGCATTTGAATGACCAGACCACAAGCAGACTGGTCAGAGCTGTGATGCCAGGTTACCTCTAGCAAACACATTCCCATCTGCCTGGTATGATTGTTGGGGAGTGGGTGGGGAAGATGGGGGCCTTACCACTCCCTCTGATCTCACTTAAGAAAATATGTGCTTAACAGTCTTCTCACTTTAAGATACTCCTCTCCCTTTTGACCCCTACCTTTCTTCACTACAGGGACAAAAATATGACTCATCCTTAAGCTTCTGAACCACCTGTAAGGAAGACACTTCTATCTTTAGAACCAAACAGAATAAACCAGGGAAGAATTAAAGGAAGCTGGGCGTGAGGCAGAGGAGTGAACAATGGCCACATTGGGACTTGTGGCAGAGACCTACCTGCTCTTTTACCTGGTTGCTGAGGAGAACAAGAATGTC